TTGGAACCAACAATAGTATAGTTTACAGTATAACCAGAAAGACCATTAGGTCCTATATCTGTCAATATTTCAAAAAATGATTACTATCCCTAGCAAAACATTGTGAAATATTCTTATGTTTTTGTAAGACAGGTTTGTATAAAGTCTTTCAATTTGGTTTTGTGAATATTGAAGCAACATCATACCCCTTCCAATGTTGTTTGGTATGGTTTCATTTTTTTGGTATTACTAAATGCCCTAGAATGTTGTGGTGGTCCAGAGATCTTGTTCACCGTGTCTTGTTGACCCACAAATGCCATAGGTATATTAATACATATTCCCCAGAGATTTATAATCGAAACAGTTCAAACAATAACAACAAAAAACCCCCAAAAAACAGAAAGCTGTTGGAAATGTTAGATTTTCAAGCAAACAGAAAATGTATTGTGCCGCCCCAAAGAGATGTGGTGGCGCGATGTCTCCGACGGGAATGCCAATTTCCCTGACGATAGCATATGGGTGAACTTGCATAGTGATCATGAAGGCCTTTGCTGAAGCGTCATTAATTAGGCCTAGTAGTGTTGAAGGTGGTGGTGGTGGCGGCAGCAGTAGCGGTAGTGGTGACGGTGGCGGTGGTGGTAGTAGTAGTGGCCTGTGTAATAGCAGCAGCAGAAGCAGCAGCAATGGTAACCGTAGCAGAAGCAATATAGCAGTCGTAGCATCAAAGCAGCAGCAGTACTGCCCTACCATGACAAAAGGAAGCAACTGACGTTTGCGTAATTAAGGAATAAACATTTGTATCAAAATTGTCAGTTTACTTTCTTTTGTCATGGTGGGTAGTAGTAACATAGTAGTGCTAGTTGTAATGGGGTAGTAAGCGGCGCGCGGCGTTTGGCCCTTTCGTAAACTCGCCGTGCCAGCGTCGTAAACGCGCGCGATCGAGATTGTAAAAACAAAATCTATGACGCGTATTTCTTGTATGGACAGAAAGTGTACTGATCACACTAACACAAAAACTAAATTTTCGAGTCCCAATGAGTGTAGTAATTTTCTTCTTCTTCTTTTTTTTTTTTTTGTGTCGCTAGGCCTATGACAAGGCAAATCCCAAATAATATATTTTAAGATATTTTAAAACCATAATTTACCACAATTTTAAACTAAATATAAAGTCCTAAAACTTTGCCTTGTTCCAAGTTTCACGATTTAGTGTAAAATATATAGCATTACATAGGTTATAGACTACCTGGTATCCTACTTTAATTTTAACAGAGCCTAGGCCTAGCCACCTATGACCACAAAAGTTGATATGCTAGCTGCCTAACTGAGCCTTTTTTATTTGAATTTTTAAGTTTTAATAATACCACCGGGCGGGATGCTGACAGTCAAATGAGATACAGGCCTAGTCCAGACTTGGTGGATAAACCCGGCTCAACTCACCGGCTTTATCCACCTGCCAGTCTGAACTAGGTGGCTTATCTCAAGCCGGGCTGTGTTCCTATAGTAACAAGGCCTGGCGTGCCAGTGCCACCGTGTTTAACTTTTTTTAAGCTGGGCTTTAATCGTTGCGGGAGGTCTTGCATTGACTTCGGGTGACGAAATGACCAATAAGCATTCAATTACGTACGCTGTGAGTGAGGGTATGTTTCGCGAGTAATGTTTTGAAACACGTTTCCTGGTTACGGTTCATTATTATGCAAATTCTCGCCTGGCTAAATCCGCTAGTCTGAACGCCCGGCAAAGTTAAGCCGGGCTTAACGTTGAGCCGGGCTTATCTCCAAGTCTGAACGTAGCCATAGTTTTATACACAGTGGCGTAGCTACGGGCAGTGCAGACTGTGCAAAGGCACTCGGACCCGGGGCTATTAGGGGCTCCATCTGCCGAAGTCCCTCCAATTCGAAGAAAAATAAAAACACCCCGCGTCTATACCGGTACCTAATGACCTTTTCTTCGGGGTGGAGTTGGAGTGCGTTTATTCGAGGGGGCGTTCGTCCAAAGCAGGGCGTTTATTTGAATAAATACTATGAAATTATTAATTGTTTTTAAGCATGATGTATCACAGGATGCTACCCATTAATTAATAATTATTAGTCTTTTATGCATTCTAAAATGACGTTTACTCTTTCAATGGTGTTTGGTTTCATGTTTTTAAATTGTTTTTGCTGGTATGTTCATTTTGTGAAAAATAAATAAGGTTCTCCCTTCATGCATGGGGTGAATGGGCAGTGTGAGTGAAAATTAATATTAGGCTACATGGCTTCATTATAGGCCTATTTGAAGTCACGTCTGGATAACTGGACATTGAATTTTTGGCATAAAAAGTAGTTAATTCCTTTGAATTTTTTAAATAAATTGTACAAGTGTTTATTAGCGTGAAATTTTGTGTGCCTCGCATGACTCGGACTGTTGGTACACGTTCCGCATGAATTTCCGTCATGGCTAGCATGAGTTGCATGCCTCGCTAGATGACTCGTTACATCTCCCTCATTGGCAACCCTCGGTACATTCCAAATAGGCCAATATTATGGTCTTCCACTTCTATAGCGCATGTTACAGTGCATAACAAACGTTACGTAATCACTACTACTAATAATAATG